GTAGGGAAACAAATCAGTGACCCAGTTGATACAAGCCTGAGAAATATCATCTTTCTATGATGGTGAAGAAATCAAATTTTTCTTCAGTGCTACTTGTATCTTGATTTTTTTCAGGGTTTTAAGAGAATTAATGGCACAATTTAATGGGTTACAATCTGAATCCTATTTCATCAATTGTTCTTTAAACATTCTTAGTGGCTAAAATTATATCTCAGACTCTACCATGTGCTTTCATGTACCATGAATATCCTCGAGTAGACTACTAAGGGATGTTCTTTCTTCCTTTAAAATGTACCTTAAAAAATATGGCTAATTTTTCCTCTTTCCCCAGGAATGCTCAGGTTACATATGCTATTCAGCAATGCCAAATGAATCTGTTAAAGGGAAAATATCCTAAAGTAAGGTTGAGGAGATAGGGCAAAACCAAACAAAATTAATTTGGCAAGGAAGAAGCCTCTCCCTCTTTGTAGCTGCGAAGGGAAAAGTGAGAGAGAATGGATTCTTTTCCAGGTTACATCTTGAGGTTGAAAACTGCTATCTTGTAAATATATAACATGGTAAATATCTTAATTTAACTAACAATCGCTAATTCACTCAGGCCTTTGTTATTTCTTGCTTAAGACTCTATTGGATAAGAAATGGATGAAAGAGTAGAAGAGACCAACAGAGAAGGGGACGAGCAAGAGGAGGAGCAGGTGATGATCATTTATAGTCTAGACTGTTTTTAAACCATAATTTTAAATTTTAGGGCTTCCCTGGTGGCGCAGTGGTTAAGAATTCACCTGCCAATGCAGGGGACACGGGGTCGAGCCCTGGTCTGGGAAGATCCCACGTGCCACAGAGCAACTAAGCCCATGCGCCACAACTACTGAGCCTTCGCACCATAACTGCTGAAGCCCACACACCTAAAGCCCATGCTCTGCAACAAGAGAAGCCACCGCAACGAGAAGCCCGAGCACCGCAATGAAGAGTAGCCACCGCTCGCCGCAACTAGAGAAAGCCCGCGCGCAGCAACGAAGACCCAAAGCAGCCAAAAATAAATTAAAATAAATAAATTTATTATTTTTAAAAAATACACATAATTTAAAATTTTAAAAGTACTTGTTCCTCAATGCTTGATATCTGTCTGCCACTTTCCACCAGAGAATTAAGCAAAAGCAAAGCTTCTCAGTAAGAGAATATGCTTACTCATCTGGAAGGATAACTTCATGAATATATGATAATTAGATCTAATAACTTTAAGAAAATCCCTAAATGAGATCTGATATTAAAGTCAGGTCTCACAGCCTTCATATGCTTTTGCTGAAAGCTAACAATTGTAAAACAACTTACTTTTTCACTCTAGCCAAAACTGAAAAATAAAGCCATATGCCTGATTTCTTTAAAACACTAAATTTAGATTTCAACTTTAAAATACATTTTGACATAAACGGCTTTTAACACAAGCATCTTTCATTTGGGTCTTTCCCCAGTTAATTATTTGCTGGCATTGTACTCGAAATTCCTTGGCTTCACCTTAAACCAACACTCCCAAGTGCTAATTAGGAGACTATATACATTATTAACCAGAAAATGTTGTGCTTAAAACATGCATGTTCCATATGTATCCTATTATTAACAGTATTCCTTTCACTCCTGGAAAGCTCTCTTTAAAAAACAGAGCCCTATTTAAACAAAGAAATTGGCTGGCTGCTATTGAGGAAATTCTTGTTGAAATGCAATTAACAGGTAAGGGCCAACATGACACAGGATCCTTGTCTTTGAAACATCTTTAACATGAATCAAATTTAATCCCACTGAAATAGTCAGTGGAGGGAAAAGTTAATGACTGCAGACGTTACACATTTTAATAGTACCAAGGGGACTCCCGAAGAGAATGGCTGACTCTCATGTGAGTTAAACCATTACCGGGGGCCAGACATGTTGGTAACTACAAGCCAGAGACATGCCTTTTTCCAGTACTGCCTCTTCCAAAAAATCCAAAGGACAGATGGGAAAAGAAACGTATGTAAACAAGGTAGGCCTAATGATTTCCTAATTACAAAGGAGATGTGATCTTCTCATTAATTGGCAAGCTAATTGACCACAATCTCAGTTTCACAAATTGAGTCCAATAATCCAAACTTTGGGGTCTGTACTCCACAGAATTCTCCTCACACTTCCACACCCTTCATCCAGCCACAAAGTTGTCAGTTCTGCTTGATTTGTTTGAATACTCTACTCCACGACAGCTGTCGGAAACGGTACATTAGAACAGCTGCTGTGACAGCTACAAGGGCTTGGAAGTTTAATTGGGCTCAATGTGACATTGCACATTTTTCTAAACATAGAAATATCCACAAAACTAAAGAAATTTCTAATGGGTCTGAGCAATATTTACTTATTGGCACCACCAACTGGTTAATCCCAGTTTGCGTTGTGTCATTGGTCTCATAATACCTTTTGCTACTGGGCTGGTAAGAGTATCAAAAAAAAGAAAGAAAAAAAGAAAGGCAAAACAGTAGGAGCAGTTAGATGCACAAGAAAAAGGGCATTAAGACAGAGAGGAAATGGTAAGCAAACCATGTCAATAATCTCTTTGAAAGGCTGGCTGGTAGCCAACGAGGATCCCACAGTGTCTCAGGATTTACTTCCAGAGGAAACATATTCAGAGGCCCTGAGCGTGGTGCCACGTGCAAACAAAACCACTCATTATAGCCCCCTAGAGAATGGGAGAATGGCTTACTCTCAGCATCCGCGTGGAGGAAGAAGGCAAGGAACAGCAGCAGCGGCCTGGCTACGTGCACCATCCTGCAGCTCGGCACCAGCACACACTGGCAGCTTGGAATCACTGCCGCAGAAGCCGCAGCGAGCCGGACCGATCTGAAATTTCAGCTGGAACACTTTCAGAGCCTGTAGAGGGAGAGGTAAAGAAAAGAAAGGGAAGAAAACACAAAGACACTTAGACTCTCACTCTTCTCCCCCTGTTGCGTCACAACCACCACCAGAGATGCAAAACACTGTTGATACACCATAAATGGTAACCACGACACACCTTTGGATGAGGAACCAAACAACCTGGTTTGTGAAATGGGACTCCCCAGGCTGACCTTACTCCCATGCTCAGGCCACCCTGAAGCCAACCCCTCTGAATTTCACTCTCTGCTCATGCCACCTTTTGGGCAACGTTCCATGAGAAGAACCTTTCACTTCTTATGAAATATTACATGACTACATAGGTGGAAGAAAGTCCATCAATGCTACAAGCAAGATTTAAGAGAAGCTCCACCATGCAGGATAAAAGTCCATTATTGGCAGAATAATGGAAGTTGCTTTCCTGGCACCAGGTGAAATCTGCTAATTCAACTTCTCCAGCTAAACAGCAGAGGTTAGAATTTTTTACACCAGCACATTTGGATTCTTCCCTGAAGACACATCACATTTGAGTCTAGTTTGGCTTCAATAAGTCAAAACAATAGCTAGCAAAAGCCACTTTGACTTACAGGATTTTTATATGCCTCCTGGGCAACGGCTTGGGTTTCTCAACTTTCTATGTAAAATCAATAAGCCACAGCCTGTTTTTGGAGAGCCCACTGCGTGCAAGACATCAGAGTTGCTACTCAGCACTTAGTGTCGCAAGATACAAAAATGAGTCAGAGTCCATCCTCTGTGACTTTCCAGTTTAGGAGGGAAAATAAGACAGGCACATTGGATACGACTAGGACAAGTTAATACGTGATTAGTGCCAGGAAGGAAAGCCAAATAATGCCATGAAATTCAGGATCAGGAATGACATCATGGAAAAAGCGGCGTCTCCAACTGGGCCTTGGAGTACAGGCAGAATTTTACCAAAAGAAAGGAAAGGCATTCCAGGAATTCTATACAAAGGCAGGGCAGTGAAATGGGAGCTTTGGCAAAGGTGAGTTGCCTGGTTGGCCTGAAGCAGGGCTTCCCAAATATCTATATGCATCAGAACCACCAGGAAGGCTTGTAACTGGGCACGCACCCACCAGAGTTTGTGATTCAGGAGGTCTGTGCTGGGGGTCCAAGAACTTGCATTTCTAACAAGTTTCTGAGTGATGCTGATGGAGCTGGTCCAGGGTCCACAATCAGACTACTGGGTTGGTGTGACGGATCCATTAGGAAACCACAAGATGAGGCAAAAGAAAATGTCTCATGCTTTAGGCGTACTTCCTTATTAAGAGTTTTTGGCTCTCTGCTATTTTTACCGTACTGTTTCATTTAAATTTCCTACATGCTAACTTTGTTTGTGCGATTGAAATAAAATTGCAGTATATTAAAAAAAAGAAAATGGCTCAGGCTTAAAAAATAATAGGTCACGGAAAGCCTTGGATGCCTCCCTAAGTCAACCAGCCTTTTTTTCAGCAAACCACAAAGGGAGCTATTTAATGTTTTGGAGCAGAAGAACAATATAGAATGAAGCTTTGAAAAGATTAACTGACAGCTGAATGTGGGATGATTTACAGAACACTATTATCAAGAGTCACAGGTAAGAAGTAACAGAGACCATAAGAGTGATGGTGGTCCTGGTGGGAATGGAAAAGAATGGAAGTGATGACTGACTGGCTCCAAGCAATTTGAAGTATGCCTCTTGGGGTGATAAATGATAGTTCCTACAGAACCTTCAATAAATCCAGCACAACATTTTATACAGAATAGGCTCTTAATAAAGAGAGGAAGAAAGGGCATATTTAATGTTACTGCTTCCTCTGTCACTATGAGAAGAACTTGAGAATGACAATCACAATCTGTTTGCCAATGAAACAGTATACCTGTAAGTTTTGCATATAGGAATATCTGAAACACATAAAATTCTTGACACAAAATACTAGAGATATCCAGAAATAACCTAAAAACTTAAAATAACTTGCAGTTTAAAAAGTACTGTTAATGCAGATACTGTAGTGTGTCTTTTTTGAAACTAAGCTTGAGCATGAGAATAAAAATTTTTTTAAAAAGATAATATCTGGGCTTCCCTGGTGGCGCAGTGGTTGACAGTCCGCCTGCCGATGCAGGGGACACGGGTTCG